TACAACTACAAGAAGCGGGCGGATGCTGAGCTCGATGGCGACTTGTACAACTACTAAAGCACCGCGCTCGACCCGGGACAGAATTGGGGAAGAGACGTGAGACAGAGGTGGAACTGGTTGTGGTTGTTACGGTGGATGATAGGGATGTAGCTTGTTGTCACGTCGTTAATGGTGATTTGTGTTATTCGAAGGAGTATCTGTCTGTATCTGTCATCAAGATGGTAGTAGACTGTAGGTACATGGACTAGAAATGTATTCAGCCTGCCAGAAAGTCGGACGATGATCACAAGCAACGTAGGGCAGTCTCGACTATATGCTGGAACAAGGACATGCAACAGCATCAGCAAGCATCCGTAACCCCCTCCTCATCGTTCAACTCCAAGTACCAAGTCTGCACCGCCGCAAGCAAAGCAATCACCCCGGACCCCCACCACGCCAACGCACTGAAATGGTGATTCTCCCCGATGCTCTGCAGCAGGCCCGCAACGGTGGGGGAGAAGGTTCGGCACGCCGCGCCCGCGCTCGTCACCAGTCCGTTCACCCGCCCCAAGATCAACGGATCCGGCGTCCACCGCTTGATGAAGATTAACAGGGCCGGGTAGCTGAACGACGAGAAGACATTGCGCACCACCAGCCAGGTCCACAGGCCGACCGGCCGCCACCCGCGCGCCGGTAGGAACGGGAGATAGGGCAGGCAAAAGTAGGCGGCCGGGTGGAGGAAGGTCATGACCAGCAACGTCCGGCGGAGGCCGAACCAGTCCGTGCACACGGGGAAGAGCAACTGAATGCCCAGGCCAATGATCCCGTTGATGCCCATCACCAGACCCACCGTCGACAGACTCATGTCGAGGCCGCCCACCCCGCCGAGGTAGTACCGCGGCACGCTGGGATCGCGCGGGGTCCGGAGGAAGATGGGCAGCAGCTGGATGTAGGTGACGGTATGGGCACTCAGCAAGCAGACGGCGCTGATCAGCATCTTGACGTTGCGGTTCAGACTCCATAGCGAGAAGTTGGGAGTAGCAGTAGCGACTTCCTCCGTCGGCGCACGAGCACGGGCAGCTGCAGAATCCGAACTGGTCTGGAGGTGCTGTCGAAGGAGGGGTGAACTTTCAGACTGGGCTGGTTCTGGTTGCTGTGATTCATCCGTGCGCTTCAATCTCAACTCCGGATGAGTCTCATCCAGAGCGCACCACGCCAACACCATCGTGAACAGAACCATCCCCGCACAGGCCAGATTGGGCAGCAAATAGGGATACTGCCGCAGCAAGGAGCTGAGAAAGTGTTCTCCCAGGTTCAGCTGCTGCTGCGCCAATAACCCCCCGAGGGCCGGACCGATTGTGCATCCGATGCTGAAAAAGAACGGTATGACAGCATACGCCCGTGCTACATTCATCGTCAGTGTCGGCCAGGATACACTCAAGATGAACCCCTCGCAGGACTCCCAATGTGTCGAATCAATCAAACCCACCTTCATGCTCCGACCGACTGACCATCTCACTCACCATGGTCTGAACCACCCCGACATTCCCATTCAAGGCGCCCCCCAGCGCTCGGGCAAGAATGGCCATCCAGATGCTGGTCGCAAAGCCCAGCACAAACATGGATAGGACGGTGCCAGCGCATCCCAGCAACAGGACGGGCTTCCTTCCGATCCGGTCGGAGAGCGCCCCCCACCAGAACCCTGTCAGCGTCTCCGCCGCGGAGAAAGCCGCCACAAAGAGCCCGGCGTAGAACGCAGCGGGGTTGTTACCGCTGTCGTTCTTGTTATCGCCATCGCGCAGCAGATGTACCATCAAGTCATATGCGTACGGGAGGGGGGAAGTCAGAGCGACTGGCTCGGCGATGCGGCATAGTCCTGTGGTGGTTGAGGAGGACATGAGCGGGGTAGAGTTTCGCGTTTTGAGTGGTAAAGCTTACCCAGAAGGAACAGTTGCCATGTGGGGAAGTATCTCTGCTTCGTGGGTTCCATCGTTCACGTTTAGTTTTGGTGGACTTGGTAAACTTGGTAGGCTCATCCCACGGAAATGGAAGAGCTGTTCATCCATGGAAGATATACGGTATGGTAGCGGGCAAGCGGTCACGTGCAATTTGTCACTGCAACCGAAAGGAATAGCCAGGAGAATCCTGGGAAATAAAAAAAAAGAAAAGAGAACGGGTGTTCGGCTGAAGAAAGGTTGCAAGGGTCAGGTTCACCCTGTAGAGAGGGTCACGCACTTCCCAAACGCCACATACTTTTACTACCACATTCCTTACCCAAACAGATCGATTATCTTCAGGAATATACTCGTAAGTAAATAAGGATTTTTGACAACACCCCTGCAGATAAGCCAACAAGTGAAGCCTTGTAAACATCTATATATCTATCTATATAGTTATAGTTATAGTTTATATCTCTCCATAATAACCAATTTCCAGAGTTTCTGCGGCAAGAAAAATGATGCTTTTATGTGATCACATACAAAAATCAGCAGCCGTTCCGCAAGTGCGTGGCGCCTTCTATTTGCGTCAGCTTGCTTTCACAATTCACATCCACCTGCATCTTGGCGGGGGACCAAGTTCCCCCTTTAGGCAATTTGTTCAGCTGCCGGGAGGATTGTACTACCGCACTACCTGTACGCCGAACCATCCATCCTTGGAGACGAACAGTCCCTGGTCCTGAAACATGTAGTATAACATGTGTATAGTAACATCTAGTAGATCTAGTTATAAACATATCCCTCCAGAAAAACAAGGACTCTATCGTCCCCTTCAACGGCCAAAATCAAAATATGTAGATGGCAAAGTATTCTAGCACACTTTCACCTCATAGTCAGCCAACATGTGCAAGTACAGGGTTCAGAATGGTATCAATTAAAGCCAAAGGAGAAAATAAGATCGCTGGTCGCTATGTGATGATGCGGGATCAACTGCATCGACTGTCAAAGTCTGTATGTGCAAGTTATATCGTGCCGTGGCAACGTGGAATGCATAAGGGAAAAAGGGAGAATTAAACATGGTGGCCGACGAGTGAGCTTTTGGCGTTAGAGGTAAGATACGATGTCACGGAGCGATTCTCGATTGTCGGGATGCGCTGCGACGGCCGCTCGAGCCGTGTGGGCCAGGGGCCAGGCTTTTCCGCTGTTCTTGGATCGGATGCAATGGCGGCGCGATGCCTTGCCTAGGATCCATGCCTGGTTCACCCCAGCCAGGCGGTTGAGGGTCAATTGGGGAGGGAATCTTGGGGAGTGGACAGTTAGGGGGTGGAGCTGCAGGTGGCCCGATTAGTCCTGGCATGCTCTTGCGTCGGCCCATCCCGGCCGGCGGTAAGCGTGCATTGGGATCGGTCGGATACATCACTGATCCCCGCATCCGGGCGTGATCCTGACCATTTGTTTGCTCTTCAGCCAGAAGATGTAGCTCGGAAGGGGGCTTTCCGCCCATGGCGGTTGTAGGACGCAGCGTGTTAGCTGCGCTTTTCAATGGGTTCCGAGACAAGCGGGAAAGGCGATGAGTCTTCGAATCGACGCTGCGTGCGGGATCAACAAGGGAATCCTGCGAGCTAGATACTCGTAGTAGTTTGGGTGGAGACAATCCCTGAGTAGACCCGACCTGGTGCGGCTCGTTCACAGCCCCTTGCCCAAGTCCATTCATGATCTTGCCTGGAGAGTGTGGAGGAGATGGGAAAGCTAACAGAGGATCAGCGGGTGAGTCCACGTCAACAAGGTCGAGAGCAGGCGGGGCCTGCGGGAACTGCGGGACTTGCAGCGGCCCAAACCGAGCCGTGAACCGTTTGCTGAAGGAGGGTACGCTGAAGTTTGGTGCGGGTGGAGAGGTACTGCGGTAGATCGGGTCGGGTTGGGTCGACTGAGCCCGAGGAATCTCAGCCGCCAACTCCGCAGCTGTGGGCACGGTCTGCGTTGGCGACGCATGCATCGATCGTCTCTTGGTTGACCCCGAAGCTGTTGGGCTAGCCATATCCCCGGACCTGGGCACATTATCAGCGGAAGGCACGCTCGGAACACTCGATGCTGTCATAGAGTAGAAGCGTCCCGAATTGCTGATTGGGGACGTGACTTCGGTATGAGTTGTGGAGATAGACCCCGAACGAGACTCCGATGCTGGAGGTAGCACTATCGAACGGCGGTTGATGGAGACATGGGAATTCCGGCGAGACTGGTCATTGAAGCTTGGATCCCCTTCCTCTCCGGACGCAGGCAGCTGGGGTGGAATCAGCGTGGAATATCGCTTCGTATCCTTTGTGATCATTTGACGGATGCTGGGCTTGTTGTGAAGCTGGTGGCCTGGCTGCCCATCATCGGCCCTTTCAGAGACATACTTCTTACCGCCACGCGCCTCAATTTGAGCTCGGACTGCCAACAACCAGGTGTTCATGTCTTCGGGATGATCGAAGACCAGCAAAAATGTGCGTTCCATCCGTCGAGTATGGGAACGATGGAATCCAAAGCGAAATCGATGATACTTGGTACCTTCAACGCCTTCCTCGTCCGATGATTGCGTCACTTGAAGCACGTAGTGCTTCCCAGGAATAGCATCACTGGCAAATGCCACTGATTTGGGTCCCAATTGAAGCATTTTTTCAGGCAAACGGTCGTGCTTGCCGGAGCCCGCATATTGTAAGATAAAGCCGGCGGTAGCGAGAACGTACACCTTCTGCGACCATTCGGTCTTACTAATGGTTTCAGAAAGGGTGCGCAGGTGCTTTTTTCGCTCTTTCTCTTCTTTCTTCTTCTTGGTGGTTGTGTCCTCCGCGGCGTCTCCGTTCTGCGATGCCTTGCTTGATGGGTCATCTTCACGGGAGACGATCCCTTTGGCTCTTGCCGTTGCTTGCATGCGCAGAATAGTGTCCACCGAGAGAGAAGGAACCGGCAACGAATCATGTTTGATCGACTGCGGGTATGCCTGGAACAAAGGCGGTGGTTTCCAGCCTAAGTCACCTGCCGGAGGTTGATCATCGCCGGACTTCCCCCGCGATTTCGCAGGAAGCCTCGAGCGCTGAGAAGCAATTGTGGTGGGAGATGTGGGAAGTGTCGCAGCAGAGGTGTTGGTTCTCGGTGTCGCGACCAAAGTTGGTGACAAGGGCACTGCCCCTGAGTTGGGGGCCGGTTGCTCCGTGGCAGGTTTCTGCTCATCGATACCAGATAGCTTGGCCTCTGTGGCTGGCTTACGGGCCGATTTGTCGCGCCCGAAAATGTTGCGTAGACTGGATTTGGATGTCTGGCGTTTGACCGGAGCGGGTTGTAAAGGGACTCGCTCTCCTCCCTCCTCATCTGTCTGGTAGTCGGATGGCCGGGGTCGCTGTGGTCGAGTGGCTGTTACTTGTATCGGGCGCGCGGTGGGACGGCTGAAATTGGTTTGCAGCGGTGCCAATCGCTGGCCTCTGCGCTCGTTAACCGATTGTTGCGGGGAATCAATTTCGAGCGACATTCTCTGCGCGAATTCCCACAATTGCGCAGAATTTCGGTGCGGGAAGTCGGGGGATCTGGTACGAGTCGGGGTATAATCGAAGTCGGAAAAGCATTCAGCATTCGTGCCACGGCTAGGTGATGATTAAAACGAGAGATGCAGGTAAAGAATGTGGTCAAACTGGCTGGATGACTTCATCGACGGACGATGCAAGACAACGGGCGGGATAGAGCGATGGTCGGACCACTAGACGTGGATCATTCCCGTCCAAATTGTGGAGGCACCGTGTCGCATCCACCAGGACAGAGCTCAGAGCGGTACAGACGAGAGAGAACGATCGCGATCACAGGCTGTGGATACAGGACGAGCCCAGAGTGTACGACGAACAGGGAATGATTGTCGGGAGTGGGAAACTGGGTCAACAGATCACCGGGGTGAAGATCAGATCAGGAGAAATCCATTGCCGTCCGTGAGCTATAAAAGAGTCGCAATTGAAGGTCATTCAGCGAAGGAGACAGTCGAGAGCAGCAAGGATAGAACAGAATGGGCGATAAAAGGGCGAAAAGAGGGGAAAAGAAGAGGCAAGAGAGTGTGAGGGCCAGGTTGGACGAAGGGAGGGGAGGGGAGGTGGGAGAAAGAGGAAGAAAGCGTTGATGACTCGAAAAATGGCGACAAGAGAGAGGCAGGCAGGACTCGAGAGGAGAGGGGAGGGGGGGAGGGGGGGGCAGAAAGTATTAAAAATAAAATGGTCACTTATTTTGTTTGAAAGAAAACGATGAGAGAGAATGAAACTAAAAATGAAACTAAAGAGGAAACGATGGGACAGACGAACGATGGACGCAAACCCGCGTGAAACGGGCTGCAGGCAAGGATCCCAAAGTGTTCAAGGTTCCCACTGCAAGATCCGAAACGGTTTGGTGACCGATGAGCTGAGGCAGCGGACTGTCCCCCACCCCCTGAAAAGTCAGTGATTTGAGTTTCGGTCTCCTTCTGGAAGGATGATATTCGATGAGAGGATGCTCAGGACGGACGTAGAAAACAAGAGGAGAGGGAAGATGATGGGGTCGAGGGGGAGAATTGAACAGCCCGCCAGAGATTCAATTCGATCCTCAAAAAAAACAATGGCTGCTGCTGCCCCTGAATCGACCCAGCCTTGCAGGGCTCCACTTTCCACCCCATCGCGTGTAAGAAGTTGAGCGTTTGAAGCTAGAGAAATGACGACGGAGACATTGTGATACTGTGAGCTTTAAGTAGAGAGCCTCCAAATTTGTTGTCCTGTTTGTCACATTTCTCCTGCTCTTCCTGGCAGCCATTCCACAGAGAAGTGAAGATGAATGAAGCTGTCAACCTCCTCCTCCTCCACCCACATTCCGCCCATCTTATCTCTACAACCGAGAAAAGAGGGATCCGAATCCGCTGAGTCAGCCCCTTTCTGTCTGGTTCCAGACTCTGGTTACTATTCTCTCGTTCTCTCTTTAATTTGACTTTTGTGTGTTTGGACTTTCACTTTCACTCCCTTCAATTTGATGCTGCTGGCTGGCTGGGAGTTTCATCTCCCACCTCCTGATTCGAACTTGTTATACGCGCACAACGTACAGGACTTATACAGAGTTCATGACAAAACCACCCCCCAGATCGATACAAACTAAACCATCAATGGCACTTCCTCCCCTGCCCGGCCTCCACCGCCCCCATCAGTTCCGCCGCCTCGTCACAATGCTGCGCCATATCCACATCCTTGCCCGTTAGACCTCGCGGGTGGTGCGTCGTCCAGTGGATATCCACCGATCCAATCCGCTATTGAACCAGAACCACAGTCAGCCTCTTTACTCACGTAGTAATTCTTTCCGATCTGTCCATACACCCACCCCCTTTTCTCCTCGTCGGATCGGATTCTTTCCCCCACCATTACTAGATGTCCAGACCCAGGAGGTATAGCCCCGGAAAAGAAAGAAGAACGAATGGAGTCAACAAACCCAAACACGAAGGGAGAGGAAAAAAAAAAAAAAAACTTACAACAGTCATAGTAGGATGATGCTTCATCGTGGCACTTTGCGAAGCAACCACATTCACAAAGCTCTACACAACCCAGTCAGCCCATCAATCAATCCCCAGCCCCCATCATCATCCCTTGCCAGCTGAACACTCCGGGCCCTACCCTTTCCTTCCCCAGACAATCAAGCTCGGAAAAGGTTGGGTGCGAGAGGAGCGGGAACATCCTTGGGAAAGGACTAGGCCACAAACTTACCACCGCCTTGAAATAGGTCTTGAAGAAGTACGTCTTCTGCAATCCCTGGCCCTCCGCATCCAGCGTCCACCCTTGCTCCGGCTGCAGCAGCGCGGTCAGGCGCGGCCGGAGCTCTTCCGCGTCGACGCCCTCGGCGAATTGCGGTTCAACGGCCGCGGAGTTCGCGGAAGCGGACATGCTGGAGGAGAAGGCGCGCGTCGTAGTGGATGGGGGGAATGTCGAGTGATTTTGTGTCAGGTAGCTGCTGGTGGGGGTGCTCCGAGTAAGGGGTGTAGTTCGGAGAGGACGGGCTGGGGGAATAGTGGAGGAGGCAGAAGAAGAAACAGAAGAGTAGAAGCGGGAGGTAGATGGGCGAGCGAAATGGCTCCTTTGTAGGCGAGAGAGGAGTACGCAAGGCCGTGGGCTTGCCCTGATGATGTGGTCCATGCTGGATGGGATGGGCCAGAAAGAGGGTGTCTACCAGAATTGCGGTCGGGGATGCGCGCTGCGGCGGCGGCGTTTGCGCGGGTGGAGGTGAGAAGCTTCGGCCATCCGTGCGAGGCACGTGACCCGTCTCTGGGGCGCGGCGGGCGGGTCGATCTCCCGCCGCGCTGAAGAGGAATGACGGGGCCAGCCAGCCATTTAGCCAGTTAGCCGACCAACCAACCGTAATCACCAGCCTTCGAGATGACAAGGTCCATGGCCTAATCCTATCTTACTTACTCGTCTAGAAGACAAGTCTACTATAAATAGGACAGAGGCTGATTACGAACAGTGGGATCCTGGTCATGACACTCAACTTGTGATTCAGGAAAGCTATTTAACCCTCTATGGAGGAAATCTCATTGCAATTATGATGACAGCCCTGACAGCTTGAGACTGGCTCGTGTAATTGTATTTAAAGAGCAATAGGACCGGTACTCAGCCTAGGCCCAGAAGCAGAAACCAAACAGTGAAGAATTGTCGAGCTGGGCCCCGCCGAAGCTACCAGCCTGCCCATATCGGCTCCATCCAGTAGGAAACAGAAGAATGAAGATAGAACAATTGAATGATATCTAGACTATCTAGAGTAGCAAAGTCCAACTCAGTGGATCATGATCCTGGAAGGATAAACGATCGAACGGTACAAGGCTAAATCGAGAGTCAAGACACACAAAACAGGATGGATGAAACCCTTCGCCACAGAAAGGGGGTATCAACGCTCGTTAATCATTTCACTAATATCATAGGGAAAAAATGGTTCCTCGTCGCACGCCCAAGCCTACCGCGAGAAACTGTTCTTGCGTGACTGGACTCGAGAGTTGACCCCAGAGGCTGGACGAGAAGCCACATAGCTATTGGCCCGGCTACCAAGAGTCTGACGGATGCGCAGATTCTGCTGAGACCGAGCGAAGGAGTTCGCACGCGACCCAGAGGGTATCCGAGAAAGTCTTCGACCATGGGTTTGGAGTTCAACTCGGGCATCGGACAATTGCTGGGCGAAAGGCGACCGCTTGCGAAGAACAGGCCCATACCAGTAAATGACATAGACCGCAACGACAAGCAAAAACGAAATGCAGAACAAAATCGTGGAAGCATATTCAAGATGGTACTTTCCACCGATATCTATACAACAATTGATTAGAACGACGTATCACAGACCATCGGATGGAGAAACTCACTTTGGAAGAAGGGTGTAGCAGGAATAGTAAGAACACCGGCCAAGAAGTCACGCGCCCATCCATTACCTCCGGTCGCAGAAGCCGAGTAAGGTCCGTAGGCACAGATCATGTAGTCGATGGTAGCCATATAGATACTGTAGTTGGCGATACCAACGATAGCGGAGAAGACCATGGTCCCGATCCAATGGACAGGGGGGCCAAGACTGGTCCAAGCAAAGCCAATCAGTCCAATCGGCAAGCAGGGTGCGGTATAGAGCAGCCACCAAAGTCGAGATTCGTATTGAGCACGTTCATCGTCGGGCTTGTTCTGGCGCTCTTTGATGTTCCGTTTGATGACAGGAATGAATGAGAACCACGCAATGAAATATCCAACCAGAATTGGAAGGAAGGACAGGCCGAGGGCCACAGTGCTAAAGTTCCACTGATCGTAGACGAGGCTGAATGACTGAATGAACATGAAGATCAGTGCATCACTGAATCCACTCAGAAGAGAAAGGGTGAGGACAATTGGCTCAGTCAAGAACATCTTGAAAGGGCGGACCCAGGTATGTAGAACCTCGCTCATCGAGAAACGTTCCTTGAAAGGAACAAGTTCGTTGGGACCATAGATGTTGGGGTCTTCGCCGCTCTCTCTTCTCTTCTTGGCAATTCGATCCATCATGATTGTGGTTCGAGTCTCAGGCACGAGAAGGAAATGCGCCACCTGGACGAATCCTCCGAAGATAAGTTGGATCCAGATGTTCCAGCGCCAGGGCAAGTACGCTTCGACGAATCCACCTACAACGGGCCCAATCACAGAGCCGCCGACGGATGAAAACACAACACAGGCGACGGCATATTGCTGGTCATCAGCCTCCCAGAGGTCAGCGATCATACCCAATGTGACCGAACCACCGGCTGAACTGAGGCCTCCCAGGGCACGTCCGACCATAATCGACGCGAAGTTGGGTGCGAGGGCCACGGGCAATTGCCAAATGTTAACCAAGAACAGACTCAGTTGTAGAATCGGTTTGCGGCCAAGTTCCTCACTCCAGGGAGCCCACAGTTCACAGCCGAAAGCATATAAAACCAGGAAGATCATTGCACCACAACGGGCAGCCTGCATGCTGACACCAAATTCTTCTGAGATGCCGCCCAAAGCGTTCGAGTAGAGACTGGTATTGAAGTTCATAGATGTCTGGACAAGGAAGATGACGGTGATAATCATCCACTTCCGCCATGCCGGGAATGAGTAGCCCAGCTCATCGTAACAGTCGTCTTCGGTAAGTTCAATCTTATCGTACGGTCCTTCCTCATGATGTTGTAGAGTAGCCCCCGAGTCACGGTTGCCCGCCAACTCGGGCTTCTGCTCTGTCAAGGCCTTTTCAGTTGCTGGATCCAGGACAACATCGTTGTGGGTCGAAGAGGAAGCCTCCGAGCTATGGTATTTTTCGTTATCGCTTAGATTGCGTCGGTCAAGTTCTCCTCCCATGGCGGCCTGTAAAAGGTGTCTTTTAGTATATAGAACACGATATTAAGAATGAAGAATGCGAAACAAATTGCAAGCCAAAGTCGATGAATCACAGCCCGAACCAAGCGGCAGAGGCGTGAAAGATAGTACCGAAACAAGCGGTAGGGACACAAAAGGTAGTATACAAGCCAAGTAGCGCAGTCCCAGGCACGCAAAAAGTGGTATACCAGACGGTGGTAAATTTCAGGGAAAAACTCAGCGAATGCAATGACAACGAGAATAGGAAGAAGCAGGAAGCAAATGAAAACGCGAAGAGGGAAGGCTATAGCTTTTTCTAGCATTGAACGTAACAAGCAGGCAAGCAGGCAAGCAGGCAAGCAGGCAAGCAGGCAAGCAAGAACTATTGGTATTGTGGTGAAAGATGTGGGTTAAATGGATGGTGAAACTTACAAGGTGAGTCAATCCACCTGGTGGATCGAATAGAAGATGCACAAAGACAAAGCGACTAAGCAATTACTTCAGGAAGGAAGGATGGGGACGTGCGAATTGCAGCTGCAATGAGGAAGCAAGAGCTGAGCCCCAGTAATCGTATCAATCAGAAGGCGGGTGAGAGGCAGAGGATGAGAGACAAGAGAAGAAGAAGATTGGGGAAGGAGGAAGAGAAGAAGATGAAGAAGAAGGTGGATCTGAGGACAGTAATCCCAATAGAGAAGGAGGGTGCAGTTGCAGTACTAACTGCAGTGAGCACCACAATGGAAAAGTACTGCAATAGTGTAGACGTGCTTCTTCCGGCAAACAATCCCAAACAGGCAATTAGAAGTATGATTGCAACAACAGATCCGGTGGATCACACAAGCATCGAGTTCATCCATGCAAAATTAGGAGGGAAACCTGTTGCTTTAATAATAATGCACCGAGCCTCCCCTCCAGTGCCAGTGGAGCTGAAGAATAATGCTAGTGGTTAAAGTTCAGGCTGCCCAGGTATCTCTGACGAGGGCTACGAGCAGAAAGTGGAAAATGGATCTATGCAAGTTGAACTTCACCACTATTTCTTCCGCCCCCTTCAACACTACCGTACCCTATTGTGGCTTGGACTTCAGTCACACTCTTTTCTTTGTTGAGATGCCATCCAGATCTTATTTTTTTTTTTCATTCTTCTTCATGCCATTCCCTAATTGCCTCCCATCGTTGTACCAGAAATGCAGTATCCCCCTCGTGGGCGGCCAGCGGACGGGGCACGTTGATGCAGCAGCGGGTTGCCAGATCAGGATGCAGACTATACTCGAGTACTACCTCATTCAGACCACACGCAGAGAGTTCCACTTGCCACGCTACCTGAATCGAGTCAAGCAGCCAGTCATTTCTACTCGATCCCTGGGCCGGATGGATCCGTCGCTCACATCATTACCCAAAACCGTCGTCTGACCTGGGAGGCAAACGGGCAAAAGCCCCGGAAGAAAAGGAACCTGCAAGAAGAGTGGTCGGGGAGAAGAAAGAATACATTGAACCCCCACTCCGGGGTCGGCGTTACTACGCTTGGATACCACTAAGGCACTAACACACACCATGACCGCCGCCGGAGTCGTTCTGGCCCGAAAGAAATCTCGACTTCAGGAATGCCCGCTTCGGGAAAGCCTACCACGGCACGAGAGTCGCGTGAGGCCGAAGCCAATAATGAGTGCGGTCCCTTCTTATCGGGACTGTACAGATGGCCACGGTCGAGGCTTTCAATAAGGCTCACGCAAAGGCGTGTGCGACGCAAGGGTTAGGGGATACCAAGTGGCCAGGAGCAGTAGTACGGTATGCGCTTTCCCGGGCGATCGATTGTATGAGAGGCCCAACGCTCGGTCAACATTACGGCCATGATACTGCCAAGAAACTCATCAACAAAGCACAGGTAGAAAGTGCTAGATGAATGATTCATGGAAAGGAGAGTGACTATGATGATGATGATGATGATGATGATTATGATGGATGTGGTGGTAACTAACGTTAGTAGTGGTGGGATGATTTTCCCCAATTCTTGATTTTTCTTTTAACTGCTGACTAGCGCGGGTGGGTTGGCCTCTGGGTTCGGTCGGTTTCCCACGGGGTTGTTGGCTCGGGGTAGCCGTGCGTGACGTCAACTGCGCCAGTTCCACGCCGATCGTTTCCCCGACTTCTCAACGCTCAGATTATATTGAGTATTTTCCTCGAGGATCGACCCTCCCCTCCATGACATTTGTCTGTCAATGTCATGATTGTTATTCAGCCTGATTTTGATTCCAGAAAATCGCGTCGAATCCTGTCAGTGCTTCAGGGGCATCCTTTGCTGCACAACATGGGCATGCGCATGCCGCCAACGCCTCTTGGACATCTCGCGATCTTCCGCGGACTGAATCTCAGCCACCGATGACCAAATTCTCTGGGACGAAAATTGACCTTCGGCACATTAGACTTAGCGCAATACTACGTACACGTATACTACACTAGGATGAAGAGGACCACTTGGTTCATCCTTCCTCCCTGACCGACTGCGCTAGTCTTGCAAAGACTCTTCGCAGTCAGCAGTCGGTCATCCAGTAGAGCACAATCTTGTCGGCCTTCGACTTGTAAGGTGGTGTTGGTGGCGTGTAGCAGACAAAACACTATCACGGGATTAAGTTCGAATGAAGTCCGACAAAGAATCATCAGCAGTCTACGGTAGTAACGTCGTAGCACGGTCATTGAGAACCCAGGGAAAATGATGAGAGTGAACCACCACTAACGCCAATTACCCCCAAGAGTCGGTTAGTGCCGACAGCCACTGTCCGGTGGTTGAGCTAAGGCTCGAAGCCAAGACGATGTGGCGGACAATCCCCTGGCTTAGGTGATTTTTTTTTTCGGTCCAGGAGCGGCCGGGCCTCTTCTCGACTTTATGCAGACTGCAACCGACCGCAGAATTTTGCAATGTCTCAGTAGTCGGGATGTCGAGTCTAGACATTCTTCGGTAGACAGGTAGACCGGAGAGAATGCTCGGTTGAATGCATGTGTGAGATACCCTGAGAACAACAAAGACAAGTGAGAAAAGGAGGCGAGACCGAACGATGGGCGTGCCGGGAAGTTCGGGAGATGGCCGAATGTCTGTTTCCAGCACCGGCAATCTGTTTGCGGATGGAAGCTGAGTGAACCGGGCGGGAGCGTCAGAGGAGCGTCAAAAGTTGTGCTCCCTCACCGCCTGCCATTTCCACTCAATCCCCGCGATAAGTTGGGTTCCCGCCATTTCCCGGTCATTTGCCCTTCCCCATGAAATCCACCAATTCCACCAATTCCACCAAATCAACACAAACAATCCTCCTTATCCGCCGAGCTTGTTTCACCCCCTGCTTATCCTTTCTATCAACTTACGGTCCTCGATTATTGGGATTGAGTCTCCAATTCCTGGAAAAGAGGTTTTCCACTTCTTGACCCCGCTCCGTCATATGATCACAAGCCAGACAGACGGTGATGTGTCCTGATATCAATTCTCTGCCTGCTTCCCCATCGCCTCATACCCATACCCGTACTTCCTCTTCCCCGCATCGCCAACGGGCTGTGTACGACCCCTTGCATCTGCAAAATTCTCCGTCGGGTTTCTCCTTTCTCAGCCTGGCCACCATGAATAACAGTCCTAACAGCCACTTGGGCGATCCCAATCACGCTGTTGCCACTGACCTGCCTCATCGGCCTGCTCCGATTTCCAGTACTCGTTCGGGGATCACAGGTCCGGAACGACGCCGGTCCGCCGCCGGGTCCAACTCAATTTTGAACAGCAACAACAACAGCAGCAACAGCAATGGCAACGCTAGTGAGTCGGTGTCGGGTGAATCCCCGCTTGCCCCTCACGACCATCGCTCCTCGTTGAGCCACAATGCACTGCGTACCTCTAGTTCCTCCAGTCTCGGGGGTAGTCCAATCATCGCCTTGGGGGACCCGCATCACCAGCGCGCGCCCTCGTTGGGGGAACTCCATCAGGAATTAGAACAGGAGCAGGAAGCACAGGTGGTATGATTGCGAATTCTTCCCTCTCATTATTTGCTGAACGTACTGACTGGTATGGCTCGATCAAGAATCGACTGCTGCAGATGATCCGCAGCCAGCAGACTCAATTGCACCAACTCCAGCAACAGCACCAGCTGTCGCACCCGTCGTCCGGCACGGCAGTGGTCGACGACGCTGCCGTCCCCTTTCCCCCGGTTCCTCCGCACCCCGCCTCCGGTAGTCGGGCATCGACCCAATTAGCGTCCTCTCTGTCGAGTCGGCGCCCCTCCCGGCCCTCCAGTCAAGCCGGCTCACCCAGCCTGCGTCCCCGCGCTGATTCGTCACGGGGCCCGGAGGGACTGGAGTGGGTTGGAGGCATCGGGGAGAGCCCTGTCCGGCGGGGAAGCAGGGATGAAAGTGCATTCTACCAGGCTGAGGCGGCTATGCTGACCCGGGAGAATCAAATGCTGCGACAGCGCATTCGCGAGCTGGGTAAGTGTATATCCATCCAGTGTCAGCCCATGGAGCCGAGAAGTGTCACTCCAGTCTACGTGCGTTCATCTGCAAATGACCAAATTCTAATTCACCATGCACAGAACGCCAAGTCAGCGAGCTCACTGTTGGTGCCCAACCACTTCAACGTTCTGCGCTCTCTGGCAGCCAGGACACCGACAATGCCGGCGTCCAGGAACCCGCGGGACGAGGATCGGCAAGCGACAAGACATGACTGACTTTGGGCCACATGGGAACACATTCTGCCTCCTTCTCCTCCTGGCATAAAGTTTAAGGGTGACCCTCTAGATCGGCGGTGATCGGCACATTCTTCTGATCTTTACCGGACGGCACTGACAACGATAACTACCCGATTAGCCGGCCAGCGCCGCGGAGCAGAAAATGGTATAAAGTGTCTATTCACCCGATCCGATCATTCAACACATACCCCTTCTCTCTTTCCTATGCGGTGGATACCAACTCGCCAAGCGTTTACCTTCTGTTTCTCTTCATGTATTGTACATAAGTACACCTAATGACCTAATGTACACAGCGAATCCCGGCGTTGAATGATAATGAAGCCAGTGACTGGCCTGTGGATTGTTTCTTGCGTTGAAAAGACCTAGACCTGGCCTTTTGTTCTTCAGTTCACCCCCTCCCATGTCAAGAACATACGAGGCCCCCTCACCGCCCAAACCAGGGCCATTAAGCTTTGCCGCCATGCCGTCAGCGATACCAGTGCCATCTAACTCACCCTTACATATAGCACAACCGCCGCCCAACCAACCGAACTCCAGTCTTCCCTTGCCTTCTGATCCCTCAAATCCACTCCGCCACGCAGCAGCACCATACAACACAGCCATCTCGCAATAATCCAGACCCAGCTCCTGCAGAACATCCTCAAGTGTGAAGCGCAGACACGTAGAGTTACCACAAGAACCCAGACCCCGATCTTTACCCAGCAAACCACCACACGACACCCCTCCCCCTCCAGAAGAAAAAGACCGAGCTAAACACACAAAGCCTCTCTACTCCAAGCTTATTGCCTGTCCAATTAAACCCATCCCCTGATCCAGTCGGTCAAGGCGGAAGTCTCAGCCTTCTGCAGTAGACGACTCAGTCCTGAATCCTGCTCAGTCCGAACGATATCCCCTTTCTCACCGCTCCTGACCTTCTAGGTGGCCTGGGTCCCTTTTTTCCTAAGTTCGTGTCTGTGGGGATACGTTTTTTTTTTTTTTTTGCTTGTGATTTATGTTTACGGTGGTCGTTATCTTGGTGTTGGAGGTAGATGCGGAGGTTTATGGATCTGTTGGCCTATGGCTGGACTTATCTTGCACGGGGATGGGGTTGGGGATGGGGATGGGATAGGGGATTAGGGATTGTATACGCTCTGCCTGTGTTGGATGGATGGACGGGTTGAGATATGACGAGGTCGAGCGGGTGGGGATGAACTGGGCTCTGCAGTGGGTTGTAATACCTACCTATTACGGGGTGGAATACTGGACACTGCGGAGAGTAAAGTTGGTATGGTGGTGCTTGTAAGTAAATCAGAGGGTGTAAGGATAGACCGTGGACGGACGGACGCGGAGGCGGATGTTGGGGTTTTCTAGGATGACCGTCTCGAACCTGACTGGAATCTTCTTCTCAAAGGAACTTTGCCGAGCTTACATCCTATCGTATTACTACGATGCAGTGTGGTGAGATGTCCAGAACGATGTCGTTGCACAACATAAACTATGAGTTATCCTTGCTCGTCGGTCGTTATATTTATGTACTGTAGTAATGTTGCAGTCCTGCATACACATCCAGCCTCCCCTCTTCTCCTATCATACTTACAATACTGCAGCTCAAGCAGTATACCCACCCCGCTGCTGCAGACTCCCAATCCTCCCCAGCAGGAACTCCACCTGCCGATACGCAGCGCCAGGGACATACTGCGGGATTTCTGCCGACCCAGCATTTACATGTTAGCGCAATCCATCCTTCTGTTGAGCTTCGAACAGCAAAAGAGCAAACTGAAGGGAAAACGTACCATGACCCGACAGATACACCGACGAAAACGTCAGCCCGCGCTCCGTGTACGCCGTCCCCAGGTACCCCGCCCCGGCGTCCAGATTATAGGGGTCCGGCTCGGTGCCATCATACAATTCCTGCAGTCCGTAATGATAGGGCACGAACAGCGGCTGCGTGAGCGGGTCGCGCTGGAACCCCTGCGCCCCGTTCCAGGTCATGTTCTGGATGGTGGCGAGGGTGCCGTTCAGGATCAGCAGGTAATCGAGCCACCCCTGGCCGATGAGGGTGTTGTTGGTGCGCTCGATGACCCCCGGGAGCACGGTCCACGAGCTGGGCGGCGAGGCGTCGCCCTCCGCGAAGATAGTGTTGCTGCCGCAGACGGAGTAGTCGGTGGGCGGGACGTGGAGGGCGCGCTGGACGTCCGTGCGGTTGAAGTAGTTGTTCGGTCCGTAGCCCAGGGACGGGAAGCCCATCACGTCCCAGAGGTAGGGGCAGAAGTCGGTCAAGTGGTAGAAGTTGAAGCAGGGGTTGACGTCGTAGGCGGCGCCGACGATCTCGTCCCAGACTAAACAGTCGTCGGTGATGTTGGGGAGCGGCGGGAATGGGTGGACTGGCGGGTATTGGATCGCGGCGTCGAGGAAGGCGTTGTAGCCGCATTCGTCGGCGCGGCGGTTGATGTAGCTTAGGAAGGTGTTGTTCAGGGCGAAGACGTTGGTGTAGTGGTTTAGATGCCGGGCTGCGGGGGCTGGAGGGGGACTTAGTATCTTTTATGGATGGGATGGGGTGGGATTGATTTGGGCTTGCGAGGGGGATGTACCGTAGATCATGACGGAATCATCGTTGATTGAAGGGTCGTTGATTTGAACGCCCTTCACGTTGAAGTAGATCTCATTCTCTTCGTCGAGCATCGCGGACGCAATGTACGGGATGTACATGCCCGCGTAGCTCTCGCCGGTGAGGTAGACCTTCCGGCCGTGCAAACCAAAAGTGTCGACGAAGTGCTTGAACCAGCTCTTGAACTGGGCGGCCACGTCCTCTTCGTTGTTGACCGTCGACGGTCCGGGCGAGAAGCCCGTGCCCGCGGGCTGGTCGACGTACACCACGTTCGTAAGGTTGGTCCACGAGTACGGATTGGGCACGGGCTTGTAGGTGCCAGATTGCCACAGGAAAGGGCCGTTCTCCTGCAGGAGTCCGTCCAGAGAGCTGCAGCCTGGGCCACCGTTTAACCAGATGAGAATCTAGCTTGTTAGCCCACAAACACCATTCAGCCAACATAGGGAACTGCAAACCTCGTCGCTGGCGTTGACATTCTGCGAAGGGAAAAACCAGAAGAAGAGACTGCTGTTGCCCGTCGGAGTGTTCGGTAGCAGTCCAGCGTAAGATTCGCCCACGTCGAAGTCGACCTCAGGGATGCCGGTGCCGTTGACCAGGAACCCTAGCTTTCGTGAGCAAGACATACCAAGATAGCTAGTTCGAACAGGAGGTTACACTCACGTGCGGTCTTGTTAGTCAGGTACGAGTAATCCCTGTTACTGCTGGCGGGAGTCGACGCAGACCGGGGAGCCAATGCTTTGCGCTGAGAGGCAGACGCAGCGCGACGGTGGGGATTCTGCAGGCTGGCGACAGAGCCCACCAGCAGCAGTGACGCAAGGGCCGTGGTCCAACGCATCTTGAGATCGGCTATGGGGTGATGATTGACTGCAGACCAAGCCCTCGATCATCGGCCTACTTATAGGTCTGCGTGAAGACTGTGAGGGGACACACTCTGAGCAACGTCGTAGCCGTTGGCCCCACGTCATGGTCTGAGCATTCATCGCTTGCCGAGAAGAAAGCTGGTTTTGGCGTCCGAGACAAGCTCATATACACAATGAGGGGGCCGTCGGAGCCCCGACTGAGGTGTCAAGATTGTGGATCGCAACCGATATGCGCGGAGTGGTTTAGTGTGCCGTTTGCAAAGGCACTGGCAAATCACAGTCTAGGAGCCGTTGGACCCACGAGTAAGCGCAGGACGATAGCATTCTTCGATACCTGTAGTGATTCGATGAGGGGAAGAGATCGGCGGGCGGATGAAGGATTCTGCCATCGAGCAATTGAAGAGGTGCTGTTTTAATCTCATCTCATCTCAACTTGTGTCTTCTTATGTGCATGCAGAGTATGTACTTCGGAAAATTTGCTGCAAGGGTTACAGCACCAATGCACCAGCAATAAAACCCTTATCGCTACAAATGCTGAATTGACACCTCCTAGCACTAGTCTTTACTGGAGACCATCCAGGCCCTGGACCATCTCCGATGCAGTCCGGTTAAAATCTCGACGCGGCGATTTCTGGCCGTTTCACGGTGGACTGACCGGGTGTACCACGACTTGCGTCTTCCTTCTTTCATGTTCCTGTAATATATTGTCTGTTAGCTAGATCAGACACCCAACGGTCGTGCCCCTCAATTCCATGTGCGAAGTCGAGAATATTTTAACCATCGATCAGAAACTACTGGCGACAGCCGCAGATCGGAGCAGCACGGGATGGTTTATCAAGGTTGGCATGTCGCTGATGATCCACGAGAACATTATGGTTGCTGCAGTTGTCAGCACTATTTAACAAAACCGAGTTGTTTTATCGGGATGTAACTTGGGGGCAGCTTCCAATGCCCTTCGAAAACTCGTAACCTGGCAGTGAATAGTTTGAGCAACACCCCAGTGGGAGCAAATCAGAAAGTTCACACTGGGCAATGGGGTGTTCTCTGACTGGGCCGGGCGGAAAATCCATTGGATTGGATTTCCGCTGGCTTCATCCTCTGGACCATGTTTCTACCAGCCTTAGTCGAGGCACGAACCGCAAAATGAGTTCCGTCGGACCAGATCAGCGGGGAGTATGCCTAGTAGGACAACACAGGAGCCGTTATGCTGTTGCAGCCCATGCACTTTCTGAGTTCTAATCGATCCGTTTCTGGGGTTATCGTAGATGCACTTTCGAGACAAATGGCTGTCGGCGAGTAGCCAGGCGGAGATCACGAGGCGTGGCGTAGACGTGCACGATCCTAGGCAACGCCAAGTCACTATCTAATGCTCAAAGCTTGGAGCCAAGCGGGGCCGCGGTGACAGATCAGAAAGGAGGCGTGGGATTGATACGAGTAGGCACGGGGATCGGCGAGAAGTCACGTCGCGCTCTCTGGGTACTGTACGGAGCTACTTAGTACAGCTGCGTACTTCGTACTCCGTAGTTTCGGCGCCATCGTGGCTTGAGAGGCGTTGATTTGACGGGACGGTCACAGGAGCATTGATTGGTGGAGTTCAGCGGACAATGCGCACACTATTCCAACCATTGTCGCAACTTAGGGAGCTTGAGCTTTGCGGGAGATGAGGTGAAGCGGATTGATGTGTACGGAGTACGGAGATGCTGTGCTGTACTCCGTAAGAGACCCGCCAAGGGGTGTCTTGGTGGAATCCCGCACCAATAAATATCCTCATTCCTTCTTCTCCTTCCACTCTTCATCCTGGTCGCATCCATGTGTACTGGCTCATTCCTTGTCCACTTTATACTCTCCGCTTCCAAGATTGAATTTTGAGTGCCAAGCCCATGGACAATTGATCGATTACTTCTTTCACCTCACCGACAACTGCGTGCTGATCTCCTTGGAAGGCTTGAAGATGTGAAATCATCCCATCCGGCAATTGCGTGCTCTGGAGCCATTCACTCTCCGCCTATGTCTCCTCTCTCCCCCTTCTTCACCCCCTCCCCCCCTCCACATAAATGATCAGCCTTTTTGTTGATTTCCTCCCTGTAACAGCTTAGCTACTTATTTATCCTCGTGCCTGCAGTTGGGTCGCACAGGATCATGGCCCTTTCTTTGTCCGGTGCTTCCCTCGTGTCACCCATTGGCCCCTTTTAAGTTATCGACTCGATCTCTATATCTTCCCCACCGCAACCTCGGTCTACGGAATTTCTCAATTCAAGCAGACAATCTTCGCTCAGTCGGATAGTCGTTGCTCAGACCTACCATACATGTACAAATCCGATCGTTGCACGCCTTTCTTACTCATGGCTGCCTCGACTCACGGTCGCCCCGCCGATGATGGCACGCAGCCCCTCCTAGAGGCGCAGGAATATCACTCTTGCTCCTGGGTGCTGCTCGAAGATCACCCACTTCGCTCTCATCCGACTGAATGCTGTCCAGGAATCTGGTGGATGCTTCAGCAGTGGTATGCCACCTTTCGGAAGCTCTGGGGCGATCGCATCTTTTCAATCATCTGCTTGCTGTTGATGTTTGGGTATGTCTCCATTCACCTGGTCCTTGACTCAGACCTACAACAATCGCACCGAATGTTACTGACTGAGTAACGTCCAGGGTGATGGTGCAATTCTTATCTTTCCTGCCCGATGGCTTGTCTTATCTATTTTTCCGGCAGCACTACACAGCCCAGGCAGGGTTTCTTCATTGGCCTGCAGAGTTTGATGGGCAACCCGCTGCCTGCATTGCCTACAATCCACGATCGCATCCGGACGCCATTCAGTATGTCATCGCGGCGGGCTGTACGGGGATCAAAGCGGACATCTGGCTCCAGGATGAGGAGCTCTATGTCGGAACCTCCAACGCCAGTCTGAGACCGCATCTCACCCTGCGCAATGTGTACCTTGGCCCTCTCTTGCAGCATCTTGACGCAGAAAAGTCTCCAGAGGGCTCTGTACAGTCTATCGCGACGAGCCATCACGGAACTGCAACGGACGAGCAGTTTGTTCTATTCTTGGAATTTCGATCGCCGATTCGGGATGGCTGGCCACGTCTTCTCGCTGAGCTGCAAACCTTGAACGAACGAGGGTATCTCACCCATCGCAACGACACAAAGATTGTTCACAAGGCTGTCACGATCGTCATCGTGGGTGACGAGAGCGTCGACCCTGCTCACGAAGAGTACCAGCAAGATTTCAACCACGACAGTATCTTTGTCGATGACCAATTGTTCACGAAAAGATCCAAGTCATCGTCTAGGCTTCAAGGAAATAAAGCCCAAACATTCAAAAGCAAAGGAAGTCAATCTCGACCGTCTTGGCAAGAGGGGAAGAATTCGACCTCGAAAGAGGTACAGCAGAATGTGCGATCGGTTTTCACCACGACCGTGAGCTTCAGTGCGGAGGTTGGATCTCCTCATCGAGGACGATTTTCTCGACAACAACTCGATTTGATCCGGGCCCACGTGGAGCAAGCCCACAAACGCGGGCTAAAGGCGCGATTTGGAGACATCCCGTGTGGCTCGCAGAGGATGCAACGTTTGATTTGGAGAGTCTTGGTCAAGGCCGGCGCAGACCTCATTGATGTAGACTGGACCGGCTGTCATCGTCAAGCATGGCGGCAGTTCTTTACGACAGGGCTGGCTTAGGAAGATATAATCACGATCCTCTCTTGGGCCCTAGTTGATAGTAATGACAAGCTCTGTACATATTGATAATGGAGATGTCTAGTGCAAGGGCTGATAAGTGCTCGGGGCCGGTTTCCACCTCGGCCGACAAATTGAATACTAAAGGTTATCTATGACTGGTGCACGGATCGTTGGTCGTCGATTCCAACCAGTCCGTGACACCAGTGCAACCCAGTCAAAAAGAAGGAAAGAAGAACCAGGAAAAGCAGAGCAGAGCACCGTGGCTAGCAGGATGGCTCTTCAATCCTGCAACCGGACCGACGCAAGGGGAGAGCTCGCCTCCCCCCCTCTACTATGCTCTCTGCTGTGTAGCGATGAATGTGGCAAGCGGGCCAGCCTAGGTGTCCCATCAAACAACCCGATCGATCGTCTCAGAACATCAGCTGCATTGTTTGGAGAATCATACCTCAAAATACTGCCATCCTATTATGTTCAGGTATCAACGAAAACAACACTCAACCCCCGAGTAAGGTGCAACTCCGAGGGCACTATGTGGAAGTTGTACAATACTGCACTGTAATCAATCAAGTAAGCAGGATTGTACTTTACTGTACTCCGTAGCAGGGGGCGATCCCCCAGAAAATTCATTCCATGGAAGGGGGTCCTGGGATCGGCAGATTGTCACGCACTGCAGGTGGATACGTTACATACTTGGGGCCGAAGCAGGCTGCGGGCGGGAGGCAGACGGGCGCCTATTGTTGGATATCAGATTCAAACCTTGTCCGTCTTGACTCTCCCTTCCGGATTGATGGTTGTACTGTCCATGGAATAACAATGCTCTACATTCAGTGCAATCATAATACTTTCCCATGTGTCTTGACTGGTAGAGGAGGTTCCATCATTGGCAGGACGCATGACACGTCGTTGGCTGCATGGTCGACTAAGACCCAAGATATATTGGGCATTGGCGAAGGAGGGGAAGAGAGGAGAGGGGTAGATAGTAAGTTAGTGGTAGTCGCTCACCTACCTGGTAGTAGCAGCAGCAGCAGCTCTATAACTAGGTGTTTGTAGTCTGGTTGGTGCCTTATTCTTCCTTTTTGTTTATTTTATTGCTTTTCCAATTTTCTTCCTTTTTTTTTTTTTTTTTTTGCATGGGTCCACCCCGTTTTTCCCCGCTGCCACGACGGCCCCATCCTGTTAGTTTCCCTCGCATTCCCTGGTCCTGACTTTAATGACTTTCTTTACTCTCCGCTGAGTTTACACACCAGTTTTCTCTTTCCCTTTCCCTTTTCCCTTTTCTCCCTCCCCAATAAATCCTTCCTAGCCTGGATTTACAGCCAGCGTGATTGGTACAGCCACTCACTACTAGGTACTCACTAGCCCAACTACAAGGTAGGTAAACTTACTCGACTCTATTCTAATTCCACTCGCACTAGTCGGAGTGAGATCCATCCATCCATCCAGTCGATCCAATCCATCCATTACTCACCGTTTTTCTTCGTGTTTTCTTTTCTCCTTCGCGCTCGTTTCCCCTTCTCCTCTCTCCACACCCACCTTTCTCCTCCCTCCTTTATCCATCCCATCTTCTATCTTCACCTTTCCCTTTCCCTTTCCCTCCGCCTCTGTCTCTGCCTCCCCCACTGATTTGGTTCTCATCCAGTTGAATTTCAACCTCTCAGTACTGGCTAGCTAGGTGTTATTGTCTCGCCCCACCAGACGATTCTGGAGAGGGAGATTAAACTCGACTTGTACCGGGGATTGCAAGCTACCGAGTGCTGCTGTTGCTGTTGCAGCTTGTGCTTGCTTGCTTGAAACTCAGCTTCCACCGCCATTTCGCCGAACGCCCCCCCCCCCCATCCGCGCCCGAACGCAACCCAACACACCTCCTCACTCTTCGTTTTTTTCTCCTTTCCGATCGCTTCTCCGCTCGCTCACCATGATGATGGATTTCCAAAAGCACCACCCGCCGCCACCATATCACCCTCATCCCTCGCTGCTGGGAGCGGTTGCCCACGATCCTCGAGGGGCGCCCTCAGCGCCGCCCGCCGCGCGCGCCTACGGACCGCCTCGGCCACCATCACCACGCCCATACTACGAGATGCTTCAACGACGAGAGTCCGAGATGCCTCGATCGGCTGCCACGACCCCGGGTTACAATTATCCGACCCCTTCGTCCGCTCCCGCCCCCGTTTCCTCCGTCGCGTACACCCATGAGTCGGCCTACGCATCCTTGCGGCCAGAATCATCCGGGTATCACCTCGCACCGACTGGCCATGGTTCCTCCAAGAAGCATAATCTTCCGGCTGGGCAGCGAGACTCTGACAACCGCCATGATCCCCCTTATGATCATAATTACCTCAATCACCAGGATCGACGGATGGTGTATCGTGAAGGTAGGCCAGTTTGGTTCTTCCTTGCTCTGAAATATTAGTTTGGTTTGCTTTTTCGATTCCACACTGCGCTTTGAGTTTTTATGATTCTTCCCGCCGGTGGTGGTGGTGTTGTTGTTGTTGTTGTTTCTGGGTGCCTGAGCCGAACTGGGTAGCATCTCGGAAGGCCAGATCATGGATGGGATGGCAGCCAATGCCTGCTAGACATGACCAATGGCACGCATGAATATGAACGGGATAAGCGACCAGGGACGTGGCAGAAAACCCGGTAACTGCAGGCGGGAAGATGACTCTTTTGTCTTTGTTTTTTTTGGGGGGGGGGGTTCCCGATTTATGACATATTTCTCCTCAACACGACCCAAGATCTGCTGCGGCACCGTTTGGTTTCGTTTGGTTCGGTTTGTTTATCCATCGATTTACAAACAACCCTACTTACAAACGGGGAGAAAGAGAGAGGGGGGGAAGCAGAGACTGGGGCAGCCGGGCCAATCAGCGAGGGATTATCAGCCGCGTCTGTGGCGCCTGATCGCCTTCCAGCCCAGGAAGCCTCGGGAGAGCTAGTCTTCTTTGAGCTTAGCCTCGACTGCCAGGGCATCCTTACTCGATCGGGACTAGTGATCCAGGCCCGCCCAGAGTCACGGGTTCTGCCCCCGGTTGTGGAACTCGCTTTGCTTTCTTGTCCGTCGCGCGCCTTCCTTCGGGTTTCTCTCCCATTCCCCGTTTATCTCATCATCACCACCATCATCATCATCATCACCACCACCTGCTTCGGCACCTTGCGCCTTCACCCTCGCCCCCCTCTTTCATCCTCTTCTCTTTTCGCATTTATCTTCTTTATACCCTATCTTCTGCTCTAAGTTCTTGCGCTGAGGGGGCCTCGAATATTCCTAACCGATTCTTGCCCCTTGTTTCCCTCCTCCCCTCCTCTATTCGTGTTCTCAGCGCTCCCTCAACCCCCTCGTCTGTGCATGCGATATGAATCCACCCCCGTCGCATGACCAGGGCCGTCGAAGGTCCTTGGGCGGCAGTGGTAGCTCCGGGTTCCCTGGTATGTGCCAGACATTCTGGCTCGCAGCGTGTTTTGTCGCAGTCTTTCGCCGGCCCCCGACCAATCTCCTTCACCGTCTGCTATCTGGCTTCTTGTGCTGAACTCCGTCGGACATACTTGGGCTAACTCCGATCACTCTCTTCTCTCTACAGGCGTTCAAGATGCCTCAACCGCCCAGCCACTGGGCGCCCGCCGCATGCCTCCTCCCTCGTCGCCGCAGCACTATCCCGCGCGCGCTCCACCCGGCACCACGCACTCTCTACCCACCCCTTTCTTGTCGCGTGAGCCTCCCAGCAATCCGGCTCATCATCGTCCCGGGAGCAGCATGTCAATATCGTCCATGCTGGGCGCGGACGCTGACCGACCAGGCCGGGATGTAGGCTCCTCAATTTTTGGCCGTCTGCCCGCCACGTCCGCCTCGTTTGGCAACGCGCATCCGCCATCGGCTCCCGGCGCGATGTCGCCGCCGACCGCGCCCGCCCGCCCGTCCCCGCTCGACTACCCTGTCTTCCGACGATCGCAAACTCCTGAAAAGCCCTTTGCCAAGAACCAACCTCCGCGACCGTATCGATCGGGGTCCGGTGGTGTACCCCAGGCGATTCCCGAGCAGGCCAAGTTCGGTGGTCCGCCACGCGGTCACCCATCCACCCAGTTTCCCGACAAACCCCACTCCACACATCCATCCCCCCAGATCCCCTCGGCCGATGCTCCGTACAATGAACCTCGCCGAACCAGCTTCAGTGGACCGGTACCTCGTCCCAGTAGTCAGCCGCAACATCTCGAACCGCCGCCTCGCACGGCCGGCTACAGTCCGCTGTCTCGACCGATCGCAATGCCCACAACCACGAGCATGGGAGAAGGATCATTTGTGCCTACACACCAGCGAGCCTCATCCTATATGGGCCACGAGCTGCCGCACAGTCGTTACGGGGGACTTTACACTGATCGTCACGCGGAGGAACAAGCCATGCGGGAGCGGGAGCGCGCAGTGGCACATGAAGCCGAGTCCAAAGCTGCGGCGCACGTTGTTCCTCGCTTCGGCCAGCCTTATGGAGACCGCGATGCAGCCGCTCCTCGGCCCCAGGGGCCTTCCGCCTGGGAGCTTGGACGCTCGCAACCCGCGTCCCCCGAGATCAAGCGCTTTCCCGCCCCGGAGCCGGGCGCTGGTTTTGGCTTCGGTGCCATCCAGAACTACACTAAGTCGCTGGGGTCTCAGCTAGGCGGGTCACGCGCCCCCTCGCTCTCCGTGCACTCGCAGTCAGGCCAGCCCACTCCCCCGTCGCATGAGCAGACACCATACCTGAGTAAGCTACAAACCGACACACGCGCCTTCCCGGTCAGCTCTTCCGCTGCCTCTGCGGGTATGATTCTTTCGGCCGCCTCGGATGAACAGCGACGCAAAGGAAGCGATGAGCTCCTAGCGCATCGGAATTTGCTTAGCGTCGGGCTGGACGCGAAAAGGGGTGGACGAGCCTCACCGCTGCCCCAGGCGGTCCAGGGAGCTCAGGCGCAGATCTTGGGCCCCGCTGGGGAATCAGGAATCAAAAATGAGCTGGGCCGTGTGTTCTCGGGAATCGGAAGTGGAGTGGGCGGCGTGACGGGGGCCACGGCCGGGAGCGGACCATCTACGCCCATGACCTCAGCCAGCCCTTTCAAACGGGACAGTGCCACCGCCCAGTCCACCAACAGTGAAACTACAGCGGATGAGACCAAGATTCCCCGTCCTACCTCCGCCAACGGAAAGCGATCTCGGAAATCGCGC